GTCTTCTATTATGTCCGCGAAAAAAATCGGACCTTTTTTTTTTTTAAACCCTATACCTATAGGGGATTTTTCAAAAAAATTTCGCCAAAAAGTACTTCTAATAGGGGACGGACTTCAAGTACGTGAGGTTACCGTTGGACTACTAGCGGGCGACAAAATCTGACCGTAATAGAACACCACTCTTTAGAACTTGACTTGAGAGACAAAATAGAAGACCAGGTGGTCTTCTATTATAGGGGGGGGGTGGGGGTTAACCCCTTTTAAAGTTTTTTTTATTATAAAAAGAACTCTTTGATTCAGGATAACCTTTATTGTCACATTGTATAGATATATAGAGAAAGCGATGAAGAGAAATTAGTTAAACGTTTTTTCCCTAAAGTAACCAGCTGAGTATAATTTATAGCAGATTAAACTATATCCCATAGCTAGATGAGACGAGTGTAAAGCATACTGAAACAAAAAATAATAAAATATCGATAGAAAGATTTTATCCTCGAAAATCAAGATAGTAGGAAAGAAAAACACTATTAAGTCTATTACAGACATACAGATTTTTAGCAGTTGCTTCAATTATACATACATAAACGACAACAATTTTATCACGCACATATATTCTTAGTTGTCTAACAAAAGTCTAGCGGTTAGAGGGTCTTCCTACTTTTAGAGCTTAACTTAGTTTTTATCACTCCTGCTCGTCCACTTATCTCGGCTAAAAGCTCTTAAGAGCGTATTTGACCTCTAGAAGTATCTAAAAGATTGCTTGTGTACACTTCCGAATGACGAAAGTGAACATAGAAAAATAAATGTTTTATCTATGAATTACGCGTCAAGAGCAGAAAAAGTTCTGCATCTAAATATAACTTGTCGTCATGCGTTTTACAACATATGTTCAACACTTTCTCTTTTCATTAAGAGAGGAGGATTACGCCGAACGTAATAACCATCAAAACTACCATCAAAAGCCAAAAAGAGAATAATAACAAACTTCGCACCAAAAAGTCCAGTCCCAATAGCTTAGGAATGAATGACTATGAAACATTGTGGTTAATATTTGTTTGATGACTCTTGCAGAAATAAACCACCTTCTCCAGCTTATCATCAAACTTAAAATAGAGTTAAGGATGCTGGAAGAATCAGTGTTAAGTTGAGATTTTTTCAACTAGCCTGTAGTGAGATTGATGATTTGTGGGATATAGCAGGAAAACAAGTTTTAAGTTAAAAACAATCTTAATGTTATAGGTGCTGCGAAGATGCACCAGTAACTCTAAATGAAGACGAATCGTCCAGTTGTAGTCAAAACCGTCAACAAATTATTACGATAAATGATGAAAATAGAAAAATAAGCCTTGTCAATGGTCGCCCAGGTGTTATTCGAGAAACAACAACATTCTCAAAGAGCGATGGTTCACCAACAAAATCATCGTTACTTTACGATCCATGGGTAAGACGAATCGATGCGTCCTCAACAGCAACAGGTGAACAACGCTTTTTTTGTAATTGGAATACTATTGATAGCGATTACGACACATTGTCATCAAATAGACTTAAAAACATGTTCATACCAAAAACTGTGATACACGAATGTCAATCAAATTCAGGTGAAAATTCGTCAAATTATGTACGATATGATCTTTGTAATCGTAAGAGTAATGAAAGCATTACAGTATTACAAAAATCAAATTTAAAAGATATAACGGCAACGTGGCCTTACATTGATGCTGTTGATAGTGATGGAAATGATTTAAAAATCAAGCAAAAACAATATCTCCACAGCTCAAATACAGAATATAATGACAACGATAATGACGAAGGAGATAATGAAAGTAATTTATCGTTAACAGACAAAGATATTGAATACGTCGAATCGAGATTACGTGGTCAGCTACTACCAATAAAACTTCATCGACAATCAAAAATCAAACAACAGACATCTGCGAATGCGTCCACTTATTCGCTGCATAATCAACCGTCTAATATTGCGTCGATTATTATTCAAGAACAAAAAAATAAACATTTTGTTGGGCCCATCGAAGATAATTCATCTTGTCGACAAACAAAACATTTGTCTGCTAGATCATCAGTGACAATAACAGCAACTACACCATATCATGAAATAACCACTATCGACAATAATCAAATAAATATTTCCAAATCACCAAGTCTAATAAAACTTTCACAAACAGATATAACAACAGATAATAAAAAGGGGAAAAGAAGGTCAAAAAGTACAGTAAATGGAAGTGTTAAATCAACAAAACGTCGCGTAGAAAAAGTTAAGGATCAAAAAGCAGCAAAAACGCTTAGGTAACGTATACGGTCAGTGACTAAATTAAAGTAAATTACTGTTATAAATTCTTTATTTGTTATAGTGCCATACTACTGGCATTTATCATTACTTGGTTACCATATAATACAAATATAATTATTTCAACAATTAAACCTAATATATTTGCAAGGGGTTTTCCTATGTATTGGGAGAGACTTGGTGAGTAAATTAACTGTTGACATCTGACAGCTAATATTGATATACGTTTATTAATCAAGAACCGCTCACTTCTCTGATTATCAGACGTTTGAGCGCAGCGACATTTGGGAGCAATGCCAATAGGTACGTCGACTGAAAAATAGCTCTGATGCATTACAAATCAAACGTTTTGCTAAAAGGTCCTTTCTGCGGCAAGTCTTGAATCGACTGAGATAATGTAGACATCTATACTCTCGCTCCCCACCCTACTTGTTCTCCGATTCAGTGTTGAAAGTCTGTTACAGAGTTGTTGCACCCTAGACTCGATACACTAAAACATTTGCTAAACGATTAAGAATGAGTTGAGTCATTATATCAAGATAAATTAGAAAGAATGATGTGTATCAGGATGATATTGGACCAGGCAAGTTTTCCACTTCCAATTTTACTCTTGATATAATGTTTGTTTTAAGTTGTAATAAGTTCAACTTTTTGATAAACTGAAAAATAATATACATATACCTTCTTTTAGGATATATGCTTTGCTATATCAATAGTGCAATAAAGTAAGTCTCTCTCATCGATGCAGCAAACTTTTATTTTCTCATTATTTTATTAATTTGTTTTAGTCCAATGTTATATGCTCTATGTAATAGTACATTTCGTAGAACATTTTCTAGAATATTACGCTGTGAATGTCATCGTCGTCACACATCACAAATGCATGTCATACGTCCATCATCTCATTTTCATAGAAAAAATGTCAAATCTAAATAACGATGGTTATTATTAAAATCATCCCTATATCCCCCCCTTTTCCTCTTAGAAAATATCTAATTTTCTTTGTTACTGAGTATAATTGTTCCCATTGTTTTGTTGTTCGGTCAAAAAAATCCATCCATTTTGGGGTTTTCTTTTTTCTCTTCTTTTTTTGTGTAATTTCTTTTTCTATACTATTATTATTCAGTCTTATGTATATTTGACAGGGATTGTTGCAACGATACAATTGTTTTCCGATCAAAAGAGAGGCATTTTTTCTCTATTTTCGAACGAATTCGTAGTATAGATTGTCCTAGGAAAAATTTCGTTCATAATATTCGAACTTGGGCCGTATACTTAATCTATTTGAAAAATCTGCATACAGTGAACACCCAGGATTTCAATAAGCGGTCGGCCAAACCATTTTTTTGATGAAAGAAAAAAGTAAAAAACATTCTTGTGTAGTATTTTTATTTTCAATTTCAATCAAAATATTTTTTTCTACTGCGAAATGAAGAAAAGGAAATTTCTAAGGGGTGAGCCATGGCCCACCTTTGGCCTAGTGCTGGGTACGTCGCTGTCTGCATTCCACTCCTTTCAATTAACATTGAGACAAATGACGATTCATAAAGGAATAAAAAATAAAAAACGCTATTATGAAAATAACGAATATCTCGAAATTTCTTTACTTCTTTGTCCTAAGATCTTGGTTATCCTTATTCTTTTTTACACCGATAAATGGCCCGAAGTACACTATTTAAAAGGCGAGTCTTCAGTTTCAGTGATTTAGGTGTAGTATCAGATTACTGAAAGCCTCAGGACCTTGGTGGTCCGGTGACTTTCCGTAATGTCAGAAACGGATGAAACATACATACCCTAAAAAGGAAAAAACTGTCCTAGAATAGGACGGTTACGAAATAGTTGGGTCGATTTGTCTTATTATAAGACTTTTCGATTCATCTTCTATTGAAATACATTAATCCAACTGTTTCGCAACCGAGTTATACCGTCTTATTCTACGATAGACAAACTTATCCGTCTTACCTTAACCCTTTGGCTCCCGGCGACATATAAATGCGTCTAGTTGCAATTATTGCATGATCATAATAGCTAGAATAAATTTGAAAAAAGATTTGAATAGCTGAAAGAATTTCCGATCTCAGGTGGTGTATACAAAGGCTCTATCAAAACTCC